CGGAGAAAAATACAGCTTTGAGATTGCTCGTTTCGAAAAAAGAATCTACGATCGACGCACGCTGAGAAAAAGGCCAGAAGTTCGACGTTGTCGCAGAAATTTATTTATTATTGTAGCACGGCTATTTTTGATACAATCGAAATAAAAATCGGCAAAATCTCGTGGACGTCTACGTCGTAATTTGTTGCGAAATTAATTAGAAATCCAAGTGTCAACTGCACCGAGTCTGTCATGGACATCAGAGACATCAAAACCGCAACTTTCACTCGGATACAATAATTTTCTTCCATACGACACGTCGCTTTTCGAAATCACACGAATTCCTAACGTTCCATAACTTTCTCGGCAAATAACAAATCACTAAACGCTGATGAAATGTTTCGCTGACAAACTGAGAAAAAGTAAACTACGCGGTTGCAGATGTAACAATTCGGTCTACGCTAATGATAAAACGGAGTATAGGACGTTTTGCATGTAACTGCGTCGATCGGAAACGACTCTATATGGAATTACAATAACATCGACGAATTCTAAGAACAACGTGTCTAGAGTTTGGACTTATGACGAGTCAGTAAATCGATCGTAACGTTAAATCTAATGGAGTAAATTTAAAAAAGGAACAAATAAATAAATTTTAAATCGGAACGTATCCTATGTATACCGATACATCTGGATCATTTTCGGAATGATTAATGATCCAAATGTTTAGTCTTAATTCCGAACGCTACGAGTGCTGAAATGGTATTCCGGTTCAAACCGATAACGTAGAAAATGACACGGAAACGGTAATGTGGCTCTGGCTAAAGTCCCAAAATCATGAGATAAAAAATAACATTGCTAGCTAATATTTATTCCAGTTTTAATAATTTACGTTTTAGTAAATATACTAGAACCATGTACAACAGTTACGTAGGTATACATATTACAACTGTATAGTCCAACGAAAAAGAAATGGAACAGATTGTATTAGGTTGGAGAAAAAGAAATCCATTATTTGTCTTGGGTCAAATATGTACCGTTTTGTTTTATAATTTGTTGCCATTCGATTTCGTTTCGTTTGGCTAAGAGTTTGCAGATGGAAATTCGATCCATCAATTCGTGTGGCACCCAAATATCGAGCTTCTTTTTGAATCTAGCTGTTTGCAAATAGTTTAAAACTGTTTTGTGGTCGATCTTTAGTTCCTGGGCAGTACTACGACTGCTAATACGTCGGTCTACTTCGATCATTTCCATGATTTTATCGACATTTTCGACATTGGCTGTGACAGTATCGGGACCATAAACACCATTCACAATTCCAGTCTTCTGATTTGCATTTTCGCCTTCATCAAAGCAAAATTGTAAAATATACTGAATTTTTTCGTTGTTGACTTCCATCTTTTACACCATGTAACTCACAACTAAATCGACCAACCAAAAAACTGGAAAAGAATTTTTTTAGTACGGAATGCCACTTCCACTACTCAATTTGTTGTTTTGATGTGAATATGACCTGCAAAAGGTTTCATTTCAACTAAAGAGTTATTCCCGTTGCATAGTACTGATACCACAGACGAGGTATACGAGTAGACCTTTCACCCAATGTATTTTTTCGGCCCATTTTTCTGGGGCTCTAGAGCCCTATTACCATTTTCGTGTCACTCGCAACGTTACCAACAGATTTAGAAATGAACACAAGAGGAAGCGAAACGGAAAATGAAATTACAGAAATTTTATTATTTTTTAACAGAATGAAAGCTGTACGGTCCATCATTGAACATCAATCGATTAAGATTATTTAAAGAGTTCAAGGTTAATAAAATACCTAAGGATGCATCTCATTGATACGTACACCGCAAATCCTCCATTTTTTATTTTAAATTGCAATACATCATTTATTTAAAAATTAACTCGGTAAAAACGTATTTGCGACTCGAAATCAGTGTTATCAGACCGCGCAGCGGGGGCCACTTTCGCACACTATGCCCAATTGCGTGTACTTACGTAAGCTCGTAGAGTTTCGGAAGAGCCGAGAAGAACAGGCTGATGCTCGCTTTCTTTCTCACTCGTACATCGCTGACGTCGCTTACATTTCTCGACAGCAGGCCTGGGCATCGCCACCCGTTCGAATCATCAGTAAACGACAAAAGCCATCGTGACTGACAGCCCTTACATTTCTCCAAATCAGACCTGGGCGCTTTTTGAATATTCGTTGACTTTCCATACCAAGCGACCATGCATTATACTATATGAACGCACGTCCATAAGCATAGTAAAAAAATGTCTTTTTTAATAGTTAAAATATGATCAATTTTTGAAATCTTTTTTCATTATCGTACTTTGCTTATATGCGCCTACATAGGTCGGAAATTAAGAAATGCCTGGGCAGCCGAGATTCGAAATCGCATGCCGGTGATGCAAGGTCGAATTCAGTTGTGTTGAGAGCAAGAAGAGTAGACTCACATTCGCCGCCTTTCTTGAATCCCCGAAGCTAACGAAGCGTCAGAACTCATATACAAGGTGGTTATGCATTAGTGTGTGTAAGTGGAGGGGCAATTTCCTTTGGGTACGGGCCTGCCGTCTGATAATACTGCACTATCTTTTTCAATCCCTCCCATAGTCAACTCACATGTATTTACGCACACACTACAGCTGTTTGTCTATCAATACTAATTCAATGAATAGTTTCTCAACTGACCGCCATCCATGAGAAGAGGCCGCTAAAATCATCTCCGAATTTTCAGATCGGTATGGCAGTCAGATTGGGCCACGAAAGTCCATAAGGTGAAAGATCTACTCGTATACCTCGTCTGTGGTGAAAGGTCTACTCGTATACCTCGTCTGTGGTGAAAGGTCTACTCGTATACCTTGTCTGTGGTATAAGGTCTACTCGTATACCTTGTCTGTGCTGATACAATAATCCTTGACCGACCGTTTTACAAATCAAATAAACCCTCTATCGTGACATATTCGCATAAGTAGACCGCTTCTAAATAGAATTAAATGCAGAGCATTCCGTAATAGAGGACCGTGCAATCTATGATCGCTTCGCAGCGGCGCAACGACGGCGGTGGCAATGATCTTGCCCAAGGCTGCAAGATCAAGCACAGCGATACGCAATCATCACCGGTGACGACGATAATGAGATAGACGGCGTCACGTGATTATAAAATTAAATTTTTACCCTGCAACCTATGGCATGTTACGAGATGCCAGTCGAAGTCCACGCGACTCAAGGTATCTTATTGACAGAAATCGTCACTTTAACACTGGTTTAATCGAAGATATTCTATATCTTTATTATTGCGTAATCCCTCCAACGTGTCGCTTTGAACTCTCAGAAGTGCATTCCTGAATAGAGCATCGGAAAATGGAGGCTACAATTTTCCATTATGACTCTACCTCTTTCTTATACATTATCCTAGACCTCGATAAACCTGTAATAAACATAAACGACTCATTACTTTATACCATATTTACACATAGTCTTCTATTCAGTCTTCTGCCTCCCATAAATCGCATGGTTTATCTAACACTAAATTCTACCAAAATTTCTTGCAGTTCATGTACATCATTCACTTGCGTTGAATATACGATAGATTTTCAATGGCTTCAAAGAATAATTAAATAGCATGCTATCTTTTAACTCCTTAATCCTATCTTGCAAGCACTATGATCCTAAAGAAACTTCCATCGTCTTCAGAGGTGATTCGATCGACCCGTGAACCTACACAGCCGCTTACACTGACTCCATTCAGCTGAAAGACTTCTTCTACGAATCTTACAAGCGTCTACTTGTTTGTCAAGTACTAAAACCCTTTTTCATAGCGTACCAAGCGGTTTCGTCGGGATCCGACGAGGGAACGGATGCCAACGTCACTTGCTCGCTCCACCAGGAGTGTAAGTATATACGTATCTAACAGTAAATATATTCCGTTTAAGGCTGATGGCTAGATTGTCAGTAGTTGACTACAGTTAGTCTCGAGCTCTCATATCAGGCCAGTTAGCTCGAGTTACTCGCCGCGTAGCTCGACTCGTGAAATTGTAATCGGGCCCGTCTACGTCGTCTGCCGACTGATTGCCAATTCAACGCCCCCGCGACGCTATTCGCTCCCTCTGTAGGGGAAAACGAAAACTACAAAATATGCAACGACTCCATAACTAAGATTCGTCCCTCGACGTTAAAAACTCCTTCGCTCGAGGCATTAAAAGCTTAAAAACCACTCTAGTACTTTTCTTCTACTCGGTCATCGCGCTTTTTCTTATAAAAGCGACCTGAACTTTTATCAAATTTACATATTTAAATAATGGTGGCTCTCCTAGGGGATGGTTATGCAATAAGACGATATCGAACGAGTTAAACCTAACCCAATAAATTTGTTTAGAGTCTTGCATTCATCGGTAGATTTGGAACGAGTCAGGGATGGGGTAAGACGAGATTCACAAGCATGCCCGAAATCGGAAATAGATACGGTGGCGCCTGCGCTCCTAAGTCGCCTACTTTTACCCCTGTAACGATAGGCTTGCGTTTGACAAACATTCACTAGACGAATATCAAGAAGATACGCCTGTATTCCACTAATAATAATACAATTATTCATTGTCTGTGCAAACTTGAATCGTTGGAAATATTAAGCACCGCCTAGTAAACAGTCTAATTGCTTACTAATGTCTGAAACGGTTACAAAGTTTCTAACTGTGTTAAAATCTGCAGGCGTAGAGGTTTGGAAAGTTTTATAGAAAAAATTCCATTTAGTTACATTTCAAACGACAAAATTTCTGTCCAGATGACTGTAGGTACTTTGTTTGCGGTCTTCGGTCAATTGATGATTATTTTGGCAATTTATTGAATACCGCGTACTTCCTGTAGATGGAATTAACTTCTCCGCACCTCTCTTAACCGCGGATCGAAATGGATTTAAAACCGAGGACAGACCAATGAGAACATTTGTGGGCTGCGCATGCGAGCTTCGATAACCTACTCCTGTCGCAAGGAGTACTGCTTACCTGCCAGTCGGAGAAAAATGTTCCGTTGAGGTTCAGATTCTACTCGGTTTTTGTCCCCGACGCGAGTGAAATTTCGTCGACGGTGTAACGTCAGAAATGAAATCGTTAAGGGTGCGGAACGCGAGGGTGATTTAATCGGCATGTCGACCGAAGAACCACTACATCGATCGTCACCTGGTGTACGATAACGCGATCTTACTCTCATATCTATAAAAATGTAAATTTGGAAACATGAAAGTCTGACAACGGTAACAACAAAAGAAAAGAAAAAGAAATAAATCAAACGTTTCCAAAAATATTAAAGGTGTAACCTAAACAGGGATCGTTTATTGGCCCTTGTAAACTTTCTCTTTGTAAACGCATCGTCCATAAACCGAAAACAACGATTCTGAAAGTAAAGCTTAAAACCTGAAACGAAGCTAATCTATTGTGACGAATTTCCATTCTTCTGTAACAAAATCGAATTACAAATTAAATATATACATATAAAACAACCAAACCCTAAACAATATCAACGAAGAACGTCGGTATTGTTTTCGCAACCGGCGATCAATCGTTGATAGAAAAATTCATCTCGTTCGTCGATCAAGAACGCGCCAAGTAAACGCAAAATATTAATCGGTAATAAAATACATTTGAGGAACGTGAAAGAAATGTTAGAGGATAGCCAGGCGACGGCGACCACCGACTTCCTCTTTTGGTTCAAACCGGTGTCCAGAAGTCAACGAAATTTAGACAATTGTCTTCTCGATATCGTTCCCACGATTCTTCAACATTCCTCGAGGTACACGGCAAAAGAATTATGTGACAGAGTCGCCAAAGAAAGAGGATGCAGCCTGGAGCTGAGTCGTTGAACCGAGTTCATTCTGTTTGTTTGGCTCGGTGTCATTGTCGTCGGTCACGTCCTCGTTGTTGTCATCGAGGCCGTGATATACGGATCAGGAGGACCTGGCTTCGGCCAGGTACAATTGCAAAATGTTGGCTGAAATGGTTCGACTATCCTACCAGCATCGAGCATTTTACTGCTACGTGACCCTCAGTGTCTGGATCTTCCTTCTCGTTGCTGGTAATTTGGAGAACAAACTGCTTAACATTCTCTTTCGTTCGTACCATTCGTTTCCTTTTTTTCATCCACTCTACAGCATTACTTCAGACGCATAGCACATCCATCCATTAATCGTCTGCAAACTTACTTAAAAAATGTCAGAAACGTTGTAATCATAAAAATCGAGGAATTTGTTTTATCTTTATTTTTCTATCTTAGATGTAATAATATCGAATTAATTAAACATATAACGTATGCCTCCGAAGATATCACAGAACGTTGTTTCATCGTACCGTAAACGGTCAATGATAAACACACGCAGCAATGAGATTAACTTGTGCATACACGATTTCGTGTAATCGGCTTTGACGGCAAGCTAAATGCCGTGTACGTAAACACGACTGTAGAACCCTTTGACATTTCATAACTTTCCCTTATTTTTTTTTTAAACGACTTATTATTTACGTAAAAACAAGTACACCTACAAGCTTTCAATCTACAATACCATCTCGCTTTTTTCATTTGTTTTCTACTATGTATTTTGAATGCTACAAGTATAATTACTACACTATCTAAGAAATAAAATTATATATTTTAAACTCTATAGGTATGTACAAATATATTGGTGTAGAGGAGAGAAGTTCTATGCAAACGAAAGTCCTGGGGAATGATATTTCTATAAGGGAGTTTCCTAGAAATTTAAGAGCAGATATGAAAACTAAAAAAATATTTCGATTTTGTAATCAACCTAATGAAATTATCGCTGAAACTGAAGGTACTATGAGTGTTATGTTTGTAATAACATTAAGTAATTGCTACTATGGAAGCAGTACAATAACGGTGCTATTTGCCTGCGTACAGGAAAATTGGATGGGAACCTAACATTGAGTGGTATTTTGGTATTTATACGGCACGGAGACAGAGGGCCTTTAGCTCACATTCGAAACATAAGCATAGTAAATTGTGGTGGAGACTTTGGTTCTACACCAGAATTAGAAAATCTATATCAGAACTATGTAAACTTCCTGCAAAATGTCTCCAGTTATTCCAGAACATCATGGGCACAATTCTTAGGACCGTTCCATGGTTTCCCTATGTTACCTGCTAGTTCTAAGGATTGTCGAATTGGCCAGTTGACGACACTCGGCATTGGACAACTTTTAAAAACTGGAATTGTTCTTAGAAATGCTTATTATCATAAACTCAATTTGGGAAATGGCACCATATCCAATAAAGATATTATCGTCTATAGCACTAGGTATCGAAGAACAGTCCAAAGCGCAGTTGCCCTATTGTACACTCTTTTGGAGACCGATGGTTTTCAAAACTTGGCTAAAGTAACTATGCAGGAAAGTCAAAGCTACGCATTTTGTAATATGGATTGTGCATGTCCAGCTGCTGAAAAATTCTTCAAACAACATGTAAAAGTAAGTATATTGGAAGAAACATTTCTAACGCATTTTGGGAGATCGTCGTACAATGAACGTTTTCACAGGAAATGTCAGATCATCTCAAATCCCATCCAGCAGTGGCAGAGCTGATAAAACAGGCTTCCAATGCGGTCTTTGAAATCCCCGATCAAGCCCAAACGATGGATCCTAATACCTTAAAAGATGCGTTATTAACATATATTTGTCACGGTGCTTCCCTGCCTTGCATGGACTTTGACAATCAACGTGTCTGTGTAAAAACGGAACACGTAACGGGTTTGTTCGCATACACGGAATGGGAATCAAAGCAAGTGGCAAAAAGCATCAACCGTCGAAAGTACGGATTATTAAGAGCGTATGGGCTACTTAGAAGCATAGTTTCTTACATGTTACGCATAATATCCGAAGCAAAACCAAAGATAGTTCTCTATTCTGGACACGATAAGACTCTTGAGTATCTGGCAACCGCTCTTGGAATTTTCTCCGACAAGTTAACAATGCCACATTACGCTTCCCGCTTTGTCATTGAAGTTTACCGCATAAATCCGAGGAACGAAAACCACGTAGCCAGTGACTTTTACTTCCGCGTAGTAGTAAATGGTAAAGATTTCACACAGAAGATACCTTTTTGTAAAAATGCAAATTTCTACAGCGCAAATTACGTTGAACGTTCGGACGTTGAAAGGACGCGAAAAGATTCAAAATTATGCCCAATAGAAACGATCATTCGCCAACTTCACGACGATTACTTTGGACCGTTTAATGCAACGAACTTTAAAGACGCATGCACTAATCACAAACACGGATAGTTTAAACAGGAAATACATTACATTGGACATTTCTTAGCGGGTCAATTGCAAGAATGCATGCACCAATCACAAACACGGATAGTTTAAACAGGAAATACATTACATTGGACATTTTTTAGCGGGTCAATTGCAAAGATGTGTTCACCAATCACAACGGCGGTTATTACGTTTACTTTTCCTCGCAAAAATATAAATCTGCACGACCAATCAGAAATGCAGAAAGTATGCAGTTCGTGCAATTCACTTCCGTTATAGCTGCACCAATCACAAAACGTAAAAGAGACTTTATATTTAAATTCTCTTCGCATATACCAATCGCGAATCCTGTTAATTTGAATACGAAGATATAATTTGGAACGGGTTAAACACTTAAATAGTTTATTTCATAATTTTTTGTACACGGAAAGTGAAGAAGGCGACTAGAATTGTTTTTCAAGCTCTTCCGAATAACGACCTGAAAATTCAAATCTTTACGAGTTCGAATGGAGCAAATAGTGTTATATGATATTTTACAAAGAAAGTATTACAAATTTCTATAAGATTTATTACGATTAAGTACGATTCGTAAGACGTAGTTTCCAATTAATATGGAATTGGTAATTTGCTACTGAAACCTCAAAGTATAAAGTAAAAAGAAAAAGAGAGTACAGAATTATTACTTAAACTACATACGATTTGCACTGTTGAAATTGTAACTGTAAACGAATAATAAAAAAAAAAGCCTTACATTTTTAGATTACGTTTAACGAAATCGGACGTAGCTTTAGATATATCAAGAATATACAGGATGCCTTAAAATATGCAACAGCACCAGAAAAGATAATACTTCTTTTTAAGTTCTATTACGTATTTTATAGCACCTTGTATAAAGCTAGATGATTGCCATATATTTTATCACGCATCTTATTGTAAATATGTAAATAACATCTAACTTCTATAAACGACGATTGTATTCTGTCTTTTCATGCATCACTGAATAACAACAAAATCATAATTAGTTATCGTTGCAAAGAATGTACAAGAAATAATAGAACTCTGTAACTTGCTACCTACATAACTGTTGATTAGTATTATTTTCCAATTAGTTTGTGTAAAACGTTCCATAGTGTAAAGATCCAAGACTTCTTTTGCATTGTAAAATTAATTCTTGTTGTACATTGGGTCCAGAATCCTCATAACACAATGATTACACTAAAGTGCTGTTAAACAAGTATCCATTGGGGGAAAAATTGCACATTTCAAATAGTATTGCAACTGGTACAAACTGAGATTATATTTATTGAAAAATACACAAAGCAACGAGTGTTAAATGTCTTGTTGAATTGAAACAATAGGTACCTTTTGTTAAAATATACAAATATATCAATATATCGATATGGCGAAAATTATTAATTCCTTTCTTGTTAATTCCATAAAAAGTCATTCCATACTTTATTCATAATATAAAAACGTACATATTGTCAATAAATAAATATCAGACACTTATTACAATTTACAAGGCACATGTTTGCATTCTTAAAAGGACTAACAATATGATTAAAACTATAGTTTATCGTAACTTTGGTAAAATGTGATAAATGAGTACGTTTATTTAGAACTAATGTATTTGTTCTTCTCTGCAGTATTTAAAACAAAGATACTAACGTAAATAGCACACGGTAGATTATGATAAAATAAACGTGCGAAGGCTTGACGCGTATTAACAATTGCAGTCTGTATGCTATAGTTTCTATTTACTCTGTAAGAAAAATACATGAAAGAAAGAATAAAATTTTAACAACATTTTTGACTAAAATGCCCCGTTTACAATTGTTTCCATTCGTCGACACAAATGGGAACAGCAATCCCATGCAAGCCATGCACTAGTGGCTGCATTTAAAATCATGATACTTCAATCACAGTCTCTGAGCATATTTCACGCTCGTATCTTAATGTTTACAGGACTTAGACGTTCGTAATACTATTCTGGAAGAATCTGACGACTCGCACACTCCACCATTGCTAAACCTAATGTCTCTTGAATATTTTTTAACCGTTGATAATACTGTTCAAGCGCAAATTCTCCAAAGCCACCATCACCACTGAAAGGGCAATCAAATTTCCAAAATTAAAGTATTCGCTTTAATGTTAATATATGCTCACAATGTGCGTACTTACTTTGATGTCGGTTTTTCTCGAACGGGAGGCGAATGATTCGTAGTAACTTTTTGCACCGGTATAAATGCCTGATCCACATTCCATAATAACGTCTTGACCCCTATTCGTTTGCCAATAGATGACCTCAAAATCAACCATTTCATTCTGTGTATACTGACGAAAACCAGCGCTGCACTCTTGAAACGTACTTTCGGCGATTTTTTATTGCGAGCTATGATAGTATAAGATCGTTGTTCTTTAGTTAACTGAGATAGAATCGTTAACGTGTTTTCTTCTGAAAGCTGGTAACCGCCTACAATGGTTAATAAATAACGTTTTTGATACGTTAAGGCTTTCCGTCTACTTTCTGCTCGCATATATTTTCCATAAAAGTGGTGCAACTGCAAAGACAAACATTATTATAGGCAAATACAAAAAGAAAGTAGGAGGTAACTATATCGTGAAGCAAAAAATTACCTTGTCCACATAATCTGGACTTAATACGTTTACGTCTTGAGAGCTTCTACTTCGCTTCACTTGAGCTTCAAGTAGTTTTACCCGTTGACTAAGTTGCTCCTTCTCTTCCCGTGCTTTAATGAGCTTTTCTTGAAGCACACTCTTTTCATTTGCGTACTTTTCATTGATATCGCTAAGATCCTATTAAACAGAGTGTTGGTCATTAACACTTTCGTTACAGTCATGTTGGCCATTGTACGGGATAATCAAGACATTTTACCGCGGACACAGTGTAACATTTGATACTTTGTATTATGCAAATTATTGGTTCCTTATTTAAGTTATATTACCTTAATTTTCTGTATAAATTTGGCAGGTACATTCTTCTCTCCTGTAAATTTGCTTTTCAATTCTTTTGAAAGATCTGATTCCCTTTTAATGGTCGCTCTCAGATCCTGTTGCAACTCGATTATTGTATCTCTTAACTTCTGCTCTTCGTCCTTGCAGGCGGACAATCTCTTAAGCAAATCTGTTTCTCTTTCTCTGAGAGTCTCCAAAGTTTCAGCTAGTTTCATTTCCCGTTCAAGGGATTCCGTTACTTCTCTCTTTGATTGTTTCATATCAGCTTCTAAATCCATCTATCCAAGAAAGAATCTTAATTAAAAAATTTTCAATTGCGTTGCAAACGGAACGTTATAAAATTAAAGTAATATAGGAAGCTGGTAAGTTGCGAACTCACAAACTTGCAAACTCACCAGTTCCCTACAGTATGTATACTAACCATAACTTCCCTCGCGTTATTTATTTCCCTTCTTAATGCCTTAAGCTCATTATGTTCGGTAGTACTTTGCTCCTGTCTTCTATTTTCTGTATCGGACATAGATTTGATCCTTTTTTGTAGCCACTCGCACTCCTTCTCTCGAGCCTTGAAATCCTCTTTGGTACGCCTGAGATCAGTTTGCAGATGGTCTTTGATTCCTTCGATCAAAGCCAGGCTACTTATCAGTTTCTCTTTTTCGTCTACTTCCACCTCTAACTGTTTCTCGAAACGATTCTTTTCCATCTGCAATTTCCTTACAGTATCTCTCAATTCCGCATTATTTCGCTCTGCTTTCTCAAAGTTTTCTACGAGGGTCAAGTATTTCTTCCGCTCGGTTTCCAAAAGGTCAGTCAGTTTTGGCAAGTCGTCCGCTTTCTGAGACTGTACGTGATCTTTCATCAAGCTCAACTGTATTTCCAGACTTTTGTGTTCTTGACGTAATAACGAAAGGTCATTGCGAAGTTTCGCTTCGTTGTCTAGAGATGTCTTTAGCTTATGTTGAAGGAATTCGATCAACTCCGAATCTTGAATATGTCCAGACTTCATCGCTCTATGCTCCTTCTCAATTTGAATCTTCAACGATCGGATTACGTTCTTCTCAGACGACAGTTCTTCGTCGAGTTTTGCCACTTTCTTAGACTCTTCTGCCAAATTTGATGTAAGTTGAAAGATCCGTCCTTCGTACTCCGCAATTTGACATTTAAGTATTCCTCTCTCAATCTCTAAATCATCTTTCAGATTCTTTAATTCTTCGTTAATTTTATTGGCTTGACTTAATTGCAATTTCAGTTCCATACCTCTTTGTACTCCTTCCTGATGATCTTGGTGCTGAGTTTGTTTTTCTACTCTGCACGCATTATCCTCTGCATCGCTTTCAATAGCATTCATAATTTGCCTGTCTAGATGTGCTGACAAATTTAGTTCTCTCTGTACCATGTCCTCGATATCAGTATCGTCCTGTAATCGTTGTGCAGATAATTTTAGGTCGGACAATTCGTGGCTCAATTTTTCTACCACGTCTCGTAATTCAGTGTTTAGTTTTCGTTCGTCTTTCAGTTTCCTTCTTAATTCCACCACGTTTCCAGATTCCTTCATTTTGTTCTGTATCGTCTCCAAAGCCCTATGCAAGCTTTTGCTGTCGTCACTCATCTGACGTATAACTTTATCCTTTTCCTTCAAATATTCCTGCAAATGATGTATCTCTTGATCCTTCTCATTTGAAGGTGAAGATGTTCCTGAGAAGCTGCTACGTCTAGCCATATCTTCCAATCGTCTGATGATTTGATCTCTATTATTCAGACCTTCCCTCAGTCTCTGAATCTCGTTCTGACACTCCATGATCTCCTGCTTAGACGATTGATATTTGGTCTTAAACTCGTACAGCTGTTTGTTCTCGTTCTCTATCTCGATGTTGCGCGTTTGAATAGTTTCAATAGTGATATCTTTCTCAAAGATCGCGTCCCTCAGATTTTGTAATTCCTTTATTCTTTCCTGTAACAAAGTACTGAATTTTCTTGCCTGTTCTTGTGCCTTTTCTTCCGTGTCCTTCAGTTTTGTATTTTCCAAATTTAATTCCATTATAATTTTCTGATTCACTTGCATTTTATTCTTATGCTCTTCGATCTCTTCGATTTTCAATTTTAGAACATTCTCTATTTCCTGCAGATCTTTCTTTATTTTACTTTCGGACGCGTGCGACAACTCGTATTGGTTCTGATAGAAGCATTTGTCTCTCGCGAGTGTCTCGACCACTTCCCTGAATTCTAGCTGCTGTTCTTCGTAATGTTTTTGCAAAGCCATCAAGTCTGTCTCGCGTTTTTCTAGAATCGTTGATTTCATCTGTAACTCCTCCCGCACAGTTTGCAATTGATTCTCCAGGTTCTCTATTTCCTTAATTGTCTCGTTAATGGAAGTCTGCGTATGCTTTATCGATGTAACATACAATTTGTTCTCATTATTGCTCTCATTCCTACCATCGGATTCTCTTTCTGGGGACTCATGTATCTTGTTGTTTCTTTGTCTCGATTGTAAGAGATGATCTGTCTCGTCCATCGATACGCTGTTCCCTGAAGTTTTTGATTCAAATCCACTATGTAACAATTCTATACCTACAGATGGCTGATTAGGTGTGGCTGACGAACTCTGAGAATGAGTTCCAAGATCCAGAGGCGGCACTTGTATGACCATATTAGAAGTATTAATTAAAGGCACCATAGACTCGTCTGCGTTTTTAGATGACATAAGTGAACTAGGAACTTTGAAAGCAGACATATCGGGAAGTATTTGATTTACGCTCATCCCTCGAATAGCTTCTGTCGTTTCTTCGCATTCCGAATGAAGAGACAAAATATCACTCAACGTACGAGCACTATTCTTTGCGTCTGCTTGTCGCGCCAACTCTCGTAATTGCGTTTCGTCCAAATTTAAGGAGGAATATAATTCAAGTTGTTTCTCTTTCTTGGATAAATGTTCCTTCAGGTGATCTATCTCTTCGTTCTTGTCTGCCAACATACTATCGATCAACCGTGGCAACTCTAACTGAGCGTGTTCTTGGACACCGACCTGTGCCTGTAGAATTCTCTTTTCTTCCTCGGCAACTTCCAAATGCTCTTTCAATTTTTGGATTGTAGTGCCCTCCACCTGCACGATATTTGCAATTTCTGCTTCTTTCTCTTGCAACAGCTGATTAACTCTGTCCAATTGATTCTTCATATCCTTCAACTCCAAATCTTTGTCGGCAATGGTTCGTTCTAACGATTCAAATTTCGTAGTGGCTTCGTGAAGTTGCAATTCTAAACGCGACGTAGCCTGTCTTTGAGCAAACGGGGCATTTTGTTTATGTTGTTCCAATCGGCCACGCATTACTTCTATTTGGAACAACTGTTCGGATGCAGTTTGCTGCAAGATCTCTTGTTCAGCCTGTAGGTCCTCGTTCTGATTCTTGAGAGACGACACTTGCATTTCTAAATCCTTGATTCTCTTGAACACAACTTCTTCGGCCCTGGCATGTTTCATCATTTTCTCCTTGAGTTTGAGCAATTGATCGAGAGGCAACATTGGCGGTAAAGTAGGATCGTCCGGAGTAGGACAACGCGACGCATCTATCTGTTCTCTGATGGAAACATCTTCGCTTGGTTGACTCAAACTCAAATTAGAGCTACACATGTGAGCAGATTCTAAATCTTTGATCCTCTTGTCCAATTGTATTTGCATCTCGCGAAGTTCTGTTTTCATTTGCTTTAACGCAGCAGAATTGACGTTAAACTGTTCCGAACTTAACTTGTGCTTTTTTAATTCCTCCTTGAAAATTATATTTATTAAATAAAAAAACATATTCTAGGAAAGTTTAATAAGTTCTCCAAAACTTACCTGTAACAGACTTATATGTTCGTTGAGATGTTTACTTTCACTACCCATTTTAATCGAATCCAGTTCCTGTACCAATTCATGTTGGTTCTTAGTTTGGACCGCGATCACTGTTTCTAGTTGATTTATTTGAATTTGCAATGATTCTTCTTTCTCTGTTTTCATTTGTAGTTGCTGTTCCAAATCAGTAATGATTTCTCTGAGCACCCAGATCTTATCGACAGCTGCTTTCAATTCACTCTCAGTTTCTGTTTTTTTAGCCTCTGTGTCCGATATAAGGGAGGACATCTCTCGCATCTGAGACTCTAGAGCCTCCACCTGAATTTCATTCAATTCTTTAATAAAAGTTTTTAACTATTATTTCAATCTATATAACCACAACCATAACTAGTTATGAAGAAGCACCACCAACGTGTAAAGCATACAAGTATTTTGTTAAAGTGAATATCATGTTCAGATACAAGCTTCCAAACCAAATATAATTGCATGCATAAAAACTAACTTGATTTTTATTAAAGTAAAATCTATATTTTATACTGTCTACCATCCTGTATATCTGAAATCCTGTCGAATATACTGATCAATATAATAAATAGAATACAACTCACAGCTATACTGATGTCAGATGCTTGAAGCACAGGGACGTCTGACGTTGGTTCAGGTGATAGTGTAGTCTGCTTTGTGCAACAAACAGAAAACCGAAACCAGAGTGCAGGAAAACTCGTGTTAATACAATTAGTGACAATGCGTGTTATAAGCTGTCTAATTACAGTGTAGTACAGATCAGTATTTCTCAAACTTCATCTTTCCGCGAACCTTTATAAAGAAAATATTTTGGTGGACCAATGTTTACCAAAGCAATGCACAGAACTAAATGTGAAAATATTTAGTGTGTAATACTATAATACACTTTTATTTATCTCCCTCTGCCGAGGTTTGCGGATCACAATTTGAGAAATGCTAATATACATAACGACGGCTATAAAAACAAAATAAGTTGACATGTAAATTCCCATAAATTATCGATTAGCTGAATTGTTTTTAAATATTTAAAAAATCAGGAAAGATTATGAGAAAAAACCCAATCCAAAACAAATAAAAATTATTAATTTAAAGGTTTAGCTCTTATACTTGACTTTCATGTAACCATACAATTAAATTACAACTAAACCAACAATTATAAGTAGTATTTTATATTTGTTTAATTTCCAAAAAAGCAGTCACGTTGAGTGCGTATAATTATTTCAGTTTAAATTGTATACCGTTTTAGTTGAAGGTATAATTTTAATTTTAAATATTTCGTACGCGTTTTAAAACTGCGGCCACCCTTGATTGTCCTTTCTTCTTTTATAACGAATGCAAAATATTCATAAACGTACCTCGGATGTGATGCGTAGATCCCGTTCCTTTTCGCGTTCACGATCTTTAAGTTGTTCTTGCAAAATATGTATTTGCTTCGTGGTTTCATCTCGTTCCACTTCTCTCTCGCTTGCCTGTTCATCCAAGAATCTTCGTGTTGCTTTTAATTGTTTGTCTGCTGCCTCGATCTATACATTTTTGAAATATTAAAATTGATGTTGAAGTCAACTTGAAAAAAAAGGTAATAATCGAATAATTTATAAACCACACATTGAATTTAAAATGAGTAATAAATGTCTGTTAAAAAAATACTGTTAAATAAATACATAATAAAATTTGAATACATCATCAACGCAAAATATTAGTTCACATCCGACAATGAGTAAAATGCAATTGCAGTGAACACTATAATCGGCATGCCTCTATAATTTAAAAAAAGAGTGCATTTATGCCAAACAAAAAAAAAGCATTCGAAAGGAATATTCTGCAAAATTTCTATCTTTTTCGAGTCGCATCTAACACTTAGTGTTTTACTGCTATTAAAAAGATTGTATAATTATCATAAATTGCTAGAATAAAAAAGTTACTTTACAGTATTGATTAGATACATGCAAAATAAAAATAAAAAAACAATACACCATAATTATACATGCTGTGGTTAATTGGTAGGAAGTTACTGTTATTTTCTGTTATGATTGTTGTATTATGAAATCAGAATGGTATGACGATTAGTGAATTTCCAGGCAGAGCGTTTTATAAGAATGAAATAGATTCATAGCGTTTTCAATTTACCGTTAAAAATTGTTCAAATGCGGTTAAAATTACGATTAACTTACGGAGCAGCTTTTAAAATAGTATTAGTATTTCTATAATTTACCTTTCGGCGGCAAACCCTGTGAATGTATGGGGGAGGAGTAGGTTCTAAAGGCACCTGCTGGCAAGATAACAGAACGCCGATCAATTCTTTAAAAACTGCATCACAGAGCCATACAATTTTACCCGTCGAATTTTTTCATTAAAATATATATACATTTATTCATAATATTTGTAATAAATTTTTTCCGTCACTTTGTGATATTTGAACAAAATTGCATTTGTTATCTGAAATATTTTTCTTTAAACAACCAATTAATACGTATTTAATTAAGAATTAATCAAAACGAATAAACTTAGAAAACTTTTCATTTTTAATCGGAACAAAAAAGTTGTATGAAAATATATATTTATACGAATAATGAGACTGAATATGGTAGAACACCGTGATTTTACTATTCGCTATGAACAATAATATCTTGTGCAATATACGAATACTAAAGCTCATAGATACAGATAAAACATGAATATTATGAACTACCAAATACATAACTCATTTTCAATATGCAATACACCACAATTTCGTCTTATGTAGCATACCAATTCTATGTAATGAAAATTCATGCAATTGGTGCACTCATCGGAGGAGAAACATTAAATTTACCTGTTGTTGCAGGTCTTCTTTCTCTTTTCTTGCATCTTCCATTAATTTCTCACTTTGCCTGCACAATTCCTCTATCAGTTGTAACAGTTCTGTACTGTCTCCCCCTCCGTTCGATAATACATGCCTCGCTAGAAAATGAATAACACTTACAAACGATATTTATCATGAAGTCGACTTTACAATGTTACCTTTTTCTTGTAGTTGTGAAAAATCTTGCAGCGTAATGTCGCTGGTAACTTCGTTGTTCTCTCCATATCCTTCTGTTATGATTTCTTTCTTATTTTCCAGGTTTATCAACTTTCTCTGGAGATCAAGGATCGTAACTTTTAGTTGTTCCGTTTCTTCTTGGTAACCTACGATCAGGAATTCTGCATGGCGCAACTTCAAAGTAAGCTCCTCGTTCACTTTATTTATCCATGTAATCTGCTTTGCAAGTGCGCTACGTCGATCACCATCAGTGGTCAATGTAGTACCGAGAATTTCAGCGCTTTCGGTCTTCAAACGACGTATGCAATTGTTCAATTCTTGTTTTAGTTTCTCAGTAATATCATCATTTTCCTTCATTATAGTTGGCAAGTTTTCGGTATCGCTGTTTATTATAGATATTATTTCGGTAGTTTGCGGAGCGAAATGAACTCTCTGAATCCTTATCTGCGAAGAATTTAACGCAGTGCTAGAGTCTTGACTTTCCAATTTTTGAATTTCCTCAACCTGGGCAGACTTTTCACTACTAACACTATCGCATAATTGTCTTTTAAGAACTTCAATGGTAAGAGTGTTATTCACTTCTTCTTCGCATATAACGAAGTACTTTATTAACTCTTCAACCAAAGTCTTGAGAGTGGCACATGTTTTACTCAAACTATTTCTGTTGGATAAAAATGGAAAATGTATCTTGTAAGTACAATAGGGGCTCATAAAAATGTTTAATCCTGTTAAGATGTAAATACCTTTCTTCAAGAATTTTGCGATCCACGTGCAAAATTTTGTTAGAATCTCGTTTTCCGTCATAACTAGGACCACTGTCTACCCTAATTTTATTCAGTTCCTCTTGATGGCGATCAATCATTCTGGCTACGTTACGCGAATGCTCCTCTTTCAAACGACATAGTTCTGCAGTATGTGTTTCTTTCAGCAACTGCATTTCACGTTTTGCGTTGTTGGTAAGTTTATCACGCAATTCTAGTAACTCTGACGACCAATTGTCCTCTGCGTCCGACTCGACCATTAAAAGCGCCTGTTTAATAAATAGCATCAGTGTAAAAATAGTATATTAATTCACTATAAACACTATATTTAAATAAATTTAACCAAGTCCTATTTCTTGCAAGGAAAAAATGTACTTCTTCTGTTTTCTGCAAAATAGTTTGTCAGAAATTCGCGTGTTTAAATCTAAAGCTACCTGAATTTGTTCTTGAAGCGCATTGACAATATCCACTTTAGCTAGTGCAATTTGTTCTTCCAATTGATGGTTGTAGGCCGCTCGCAGTTGCGTTAATTCACCGTTTTCCAACGCACCCGCATCCCATTCTGTTTGACAATGCTGCATGCACACATGTATGATCACACAATAGCATGTTAGTTACAAGAGAAACTACACGTCGCGATTCTATTTAGTTTGAAGGAACTTCTTAAGTTCCAAATCCGTAATTTCTTTCCAACTATACACTCTATTAATTGGAAGCTACTCAAACATGATCCTATAGAACTACAATTCTTTAAAGCAATAAGTCCTACTCGTAACTTCGATGACCGAAATTGTTTAAACGCTGATCTTTTCCAAACGCAAATTAAGAAAACATATACATAGCTTACATTCATTACAAATTGAAATATCATGCATTTCTCTCAAAACTATTTGGGACTTTTTGATTCTATTTCAACAAACATATATTATTCCCTTCTACTGAGATAAAACATACCAACTATGAAGTGAAACCTCCTGGTTACGGAGGTTCACTGTATAGCAAAAGAGCAAACAAAAAAATGTATATTTTTGTTTTATATTAAGCAACTTTTTCACACAAAGAAAAATACTCAACCATTAACAGAAAAAGTAACACACATGAAGTTCGTTAATTACGTAAATAATAAGTACAAACACATTTAAATATTGCACTTACCTCATTCACCGTATTTCGTAAAAATCCATGCCTCTCTCCCCTGCTATCATACAGATCTCTTTCATACCTATTTTTCTGATCTTCTAAAGCTTTTTCATAATGCAATTTTATATCCTGCACTTCAATTATTCTATTTTTCAATTCTTGTTGCAAAGCTTTAATAGTTGTCTCATATTCAAGCTCCGACTTATTAAGACTGTTAAAATTGTTTCTATTAAGCTGCAAATGTTCATCCCCTAATGGAGAAGTAACTCTCGAACTACGTTCAGAAATGTTTGAAACGTTCAAACAGTCGCCAGCACCTCCGAAATATAAACCTTCTGTTAAATCTGCCACTTCACTGTCATTATCAGACATTTTCTTAGATTGTTGGCTAAATATTTCTTCAGAATATTGCTTCTCCATTAGCAAACATTTCTGCTCGAAGTACATTCGTAATTCTTCCATTTCTTTTGCGTGGCGCGTTTCCAATTCGGCTTTCAAATCATGCAGCTCGGTAGTACCTCCTTTTACGCTTAATGCTAATGATTGCACTTTATTAATTTCTGCCGCAGTTTCAGCTTTTATCGCATTTATTTGTTCATTATGAACGCAAATCAATGCCTCGATCTCTTTGTGCAACGACTCTTTGTCTGCTCTCAATTGATTCACAAATTCTTGTAACGAATGAATGCTTTCTAGTTTCTTCTTCAAAATTCTATTTTCTTCCAATGCACGTTCTTTTTCGATAGACAAATCCTCCGAGAGCATAGAATAACGGTTTAATTTGTTTTTAACTTCCTCATAATCGACCAGTTCTTCCTTCAATCGTTCTAACTCTTGTAACAATGTCTCATTTTCTTCTGTCGCTGATGCAAGCTTCGCTTGCAAAAGCGTTATTTTCTTAGTGTCAAGCTCTTCGTTATTCTCGTAGAAAGCTTTATTTGTGTCCGTACTTTGATCGTGCGTTGTGTTCATAGAAGCATTCATAGTTTTATTTGAATGAAATTGCTTCATTAGATTACTACTATAACTTGACGTTGATGTTGAAACGTCAAGTTTGCTGTCGCTTGATGCTAATGTTTGATTCAACTTCTCTTCCACCTCTGCGCACTGAGCCCACGCAATGGCCAATCCATTTTTCAGGTCTTGACACTCCTCCTCCGACTTTTTAAGCTTTTCCGTCAAATCATATATGTTTTTCGTAGATTCTGCGAGTTCCATTACTTTTTGTTCGAGTGACATTTTAAGTTTTTCGATCTCCTGTTGATCCTCTTCAGTTTTATACAATAATTCACTGACAGCATCTCTTTTACTTTGACCAGATAATCTATTCTGCTCAATCGTTTGTAAAGAATTCTGACCATTCGGCTCTTTCTTTTTCAACAGGCTGAGCTCAGACTTGTATTTATCACACATATTCTTCATATCCTTCAACTGTTTCTCGTATGACTTTTTAGTGAGATTTGCTTCGTCTAGCTCCGCTTTCGTTTTGCGGACATCATTTTCGAGACCATCTATTCGATTAACTAGAAGCTTCTCCAATTCTGCTTTCTCTTCGAGTTTCTGCTTTGTTAATTGATATTGAATCGCCACTTCGTCGAAAGTTTGATAACTGGTTTCGTTTAATTCGCTCAGTGTGCTTACGTTTATACCACTCAGTCTTGACAAGGATTTTTCCAAGTCATAAATTTTGTTATTCAAAGTTCGTTCGTGAACTTGACTGTTCTCGATCAACGACTGAGCCGCAGAGTATCTCGACGACAAGTCATCTAGTTTGAACTTCAAACCTTCATTCTCGACTTTCATCGTCGCAGCGTCTGTTAAAGCTTGTTCTAAAGAACGTTCTATACTTTCTTTTGATTCTAGAATTGCAGTTACAGTAACATACTTCGAAGTCATTTCTTCCAATTGCAGTTTATGCAATTTGATTTGTTCGGCAAGCATTTCTTTTGCCTTTAGATGGTCCAACTCTTGCGTGCGTCGTGATTTCTCATACTGCACTTTTAGCTCATTTAGTTTCGATTTGTATTGACTTACTTCAGCTTGAGCTGTTTGCTGAGACTCCGAACGATTCACTAATTCTAATTTTAGAGCCTCAACAGTTTTTTTATAGTGACTCATTTGAGCTTGGAAAATTGAAAGCTCTTTGGCATGCCTAGTTTCCAAATCGGGTAACTCTTTGTTTAAACGATCAGCCAACATTTTATTTTCTTCCTTCAACTGTTTCAACAGGTCTTCATACTTCTCCTGAATATTCATAATTTCTATCTCTTTTTTCGCTGATAACTCCTGAAAAATAATATGCAACAAATGATCTCGAAACGTTCAAGGCAAAGCTTGTATGTACAATAAATAAAGAAAAACGATTAATCGGTCTTAATTAAGCTTGTGTATTTTAAATCTGAGTCATCTTTCAATTCCTTATTCTTAGGTCATTATTAATTGCTTTTCTTTATTTATACAAAGCTATTAATAACAGGAAAATAATTTCACTCAGCATACTTTTAACTCCTGTTGATGACGCGTCGTATTCATATTAGTTTCGGCCGTAAATTTTTCTAAAATATGTTGCATGTCCTGCTTTATTTTGTCAACGCGCGCCTCATACTGTTTCTGCTGCTCCAAAGTCTCGGCAATGTTTAAATTTTTGTCAGCTGCGCCACTACGAATTTTTTCGTTTAAATTGTTTATTTGCAATTTGTAGTCACTGATTTCAGCATTTCGCGTTTCTTTTTCCATTTCTAGCATTTGTACGTGTTCTTGAATTTGTGTCAATTGGCTGGTCAATTTTTGTATTAACGATCTTTGATCACTTAAAGTTGTTTCTAAGATATCATTCTAGAAAAAAAATCAATCCATGCATGGAAATTCAAGATTTTCACAATCTTTTTCACAATGCTTACCTTTTCTTGTAAATCCATATCATTTACTGTGCCAGCATTACTCTTGCTGGGTATCTGTATGGCATTCATGGAACTCAATTGATTAACAAGAGTATCTCTAGAAGATAATGATTGTTGTAAGGACCATGTCAGTTCTTCTATCAGGTTATCACGTTGATTTATTGCTTTCTCAAATTCTTGCAACTGTTTAACAAATGCACAACTATTAGCATATACTGTGTACATAAATAAACCTCCCAATATTTTTTCAGAGAACTATAGTAGTGCCCATATAAGTGACAGCATCTTTGCCCACTTAATTGTTCGCGGTTATCCCATCAATTCTTAGAAGCCAAGCGGCTTTGGGCATCGAGCATGTCAAGCATAACTTGACGCCAGTCGTTATCGATACATTGTACATATGGTTTTGGGTGCCAGCTATTATATCTTACTCGCATTTATCCTCTTTCCTTATCTCCATTGAATTCTGAGAAGTAACCATGCCCACATAAATGATCGCGACCAGGCCCAAGCATGGTCAGTTAAGTGGGCACTACTGTATTAAGGATATAATATACCTTTGTATGATACAAGGATATAATATCTCTGCCATGTATACTGCTCTGTGAGGAATTTGGAGACGAAGCCTCTGCCCTTAAGTGATCTATCTCTGCATGTAAAGCTTCAACTATGGCCTCTTTTCCCTGTAGTAACTCTTCTAATTGAGCTACCCTTCCTGCGAGACCTTCCAAATCACCATCTGCTTCCCCTTCACTCATACTAACACTACTTTGTGTCATATCTCTTGAAGAAACACCCTCGTGCACCTATATTTTACCAAAATAATATTTCTGTACCTTCTTAAACAGTTTATATGTATTGATAGAATATCTTGTATAATATCCATATAAAGTATAAATAAATTTATGATCATTTTTTTGAAAGTTATTCTTACATAAGACTCTCTGTGTCCTAAAGATTTATCATTATGGAAAGATTCTATATCGGATGCTTCGTCCGTTTGACTATGGCCTGAGCCTTTAGCTTTGTTAGCCCTTTCTGCCTTGTATTTTTCCAACTAAAATCAATATGATTTTTATTCTGAATGAGCAGAGCTTCTATTATAAATATTGTACAAAATTCAATAACTATACAAAGGAGAATTTTTTATCAAAGCTAATTTGTACATGTTCCAAGGAACTCCCTTCCCTTTAACAAGGGGCATAACAATTAACGATTAAACGTTCTTTAACCCATGTTATTGTAGTACAAAATGGGCGAAAAAATAACATCACAAGTCTAATAAAACTGAATAGATAGACCTTAGAGACATGAAATAGATAATGTTAAACAAAGAGAGAAATTGTTTGACCTACCATCTCTCTGCCCGCCTCCAAAGAGCGTCGTCTACGCTCATCGTCGTCATTTGCTTTACTCATTTAACGAATAAAATGATATCAATGATTGTTTAATTAATAATTTAAGGATGAAACGATCTGAATTATTAACTGACGAACAATTATCAGTTTGAGCGACATCCGCTACATTTCAAACCACGTGTTTCAATCGATCACTGTGAAATTCCGTAAAACGTTTGTTGACCGTTGTCGATTTATAAAAATACGAATTAATGTAGCGTCCGGTACTCCACCATAGATCTTTGATTAGATAGATCGTGATCTATCATCGTAACGTAATATGATGAAAGCATTTTCAACGAAGTTACTAAACATTTCAAGTATTGCAAAGTGTACTGTTACGCTATCACGTGAACGTAGGTTTAATGCACATAGCGCCACAACGGGAATTAATTGTAACCCGATTACTCACCGTCGAGTGCAGAGTCATGTAACTGCGTTTTAGTTAGGAGCGAAATCCAAACGGACCAGCGTATTGTAATAAACAATACGATTGTATGTTTTTCAACGTGGGCGATCAAGCTGGGGAAGGTAGAGAGAAAGGAAGGCACTTCTTTTCAGATACTTAGTTTATTTTCTAAAGACCACGACACATCGGAGTTTCCGTCGTTCCTTCTTTTTGTTTATTACGGACCGTGCCAAATTAGCTATTTCCGTTAAGAGTTTCAATGGTCTTGACACACAGCAGGGCCTCGCGACACTTCGCTTCGAGTTTCGTTTATTTTCACAAGGGTCATAAATTTTCTTAAGGGTTGTTTAGGCCGCTAGCCTCGTTTTCTCTCTCGACTCCCACGCTCTCTCTCACGCGCGCCCGCTCCGAACATGGCTGCGTAGCCTCCACCTTCGCTAGGCTCGGGGGTGGATCACCGATCGAAGACGATTCGGACGGATGGGGCAGGGCACAAACCCCGATTGGACCAGGACAACTCAGAGGAAGGATCGAGAATTTTCCAGAGAAGGGACTGTTGCGACGCAGGATGACGATCGGGCTTGGTGTAACGCGATCGTTTGCGGTCGCTAATTCTCCGTACCAATTAAGGTGCGAAGGGTGTGAAGGGATGTGATTTTTGACACAGTAGATTAATAATTAACTTTTAATTGAAACAATGATGATACAAGTATGTCTGCGTTCGGAGTGGTCTTTACGTGTGGTCTGTTTGCTGGTTAATTGATTGACTGCTTTCGTGATATACGGATAAAGAGCTCCTAGGCGATCGGGGCCCTGGCTTATATGTATACCCAGAGATGCCAGAAAAGCACCGCCGGGTGCACACGCACACATGCCAGATACGCGTACGTGAGCTCGTGGAGTTTCGGAAAGTCGACAAAGGCAAACTGACGCATGCCCTCTTTCTCGATTCTCCGAAGCTGCCCGAAGTAATTTCGGATCGCCTCGTGGGAGTCGAGAGAGAAAGGCTCACATTTGCCTTCTCGCTCTAAACAACTGAAATCCGACCTCCCGTCAACGGCATACGATTTGGATTCTCGAGCCGAGATTCTCGACTGCCCAGGCATTTTTACTTTCCGACCTATGTAGGCGCACATAAGCAAAGTACCCATAATGAAAAAAAAATTTTGTAAAATTTATTTTACGGAAATACACGTTTTAAGACCTCCTGATCATATTTTAATTATTGAAAAAAAAGAAATTTTTTTTTATTCCCATGTATGAGCACACATATGTATATTATTAATACGATTTTTGAAAATCAAAATACTTTAAGATTGAAAATTAATAAATTAAAATGAGATTCCACTCTTTACCAGTATTGTGCACGCTGTGGTATTTTTCAATAAGAAGAGTTCTTACTTTTATAACATAATGTTGTATGACTAACTCATAAGCCAACATAGATACCGCACTAGAATCATCCTTGCACAAACATCCCAGTCATAGGTTCCAAACTCCAGCCTTTATAGCCTCCTGTACCCGCTTACTCATCCTGTACCCGGTTACTCATTCCGTACGCCACCATTGTCACCCTCAAATATATAAACGACGCACATTTTTGGACTCAGGTCAGATCTCTGTAGTTTGTACTAACGTGCGGAACTTGCCGTAACGATCGAATAAAACCACCAGTCTCTCTAGTAAAGTGTTGTTCTTAATCCCGCAACCCGGGATCCAACACAAATTTTGGTGTCAGAAGTGGGATTGTTCTGACGGCCTTTCATCCAGTTGCATTTGGACAGACGCTGTCTCACTGATGAAAGGGCGCTGATTTTCATCGGTTACATCGGAACAAGAAAAAAGAAGAGACTCCGAAGCTCAACACACAACTAGTCGTATCTTCTGGATTCCTTGTGTATCCAGCACCACCGTGAGTTGCAGTCCAACTTCGGAAGGAGGAAAACTTCGGAAAAAACCGGTCGCATCGTAAGTACTGAACTCCAGATATTCTCAGCGTATTATTTTTTTTTTCTTTTCAAATTTTCGACATAAAATCCTATCCTTATATCCAAAATGTCTCGACGTAATGAAATTAACACAAACATTGATTTTGCAACGGAAATATCTCTAGACCACTTAATAAGACTGTTGCCGAAAAAATTCGACGGTGACAGAATAAAACTACGTTCGTTTATTAAGCAAGTAGACGCTGTTTTTGAATTAGCCAGTCCTTCGCAAAAACCGATCCTTTTATTGTTCGTGAGGAATAAAATAGAGGGTAAAGCCCGAGATCAGATCGATATACATTGTAATCTCACCACTTGGGAAGAAATCTCTGAGCTGTTGTTAAAATTGTATCAAGATAAGAAATCTTTAGATCAACTTATGGAAGAATTAAATTCAATTTGCCAAAACCATAATGAAAATATTTCGCAATTTTACCAAAGGCTAGAGGAACTCCAATCGAGAATTCTAGGTTCCATTCATGCAACAGACTGTGAGGTTAACACATTAGCAGGGCGAGTAGCAATGGTAAACGAAATGACCCTCAATCGCTTCGTGTATCATTCTCACCCACAAATATCGCAAATGTTAAGATACCGCGACTTCGTCAATATCAACAGTGCTCTTACAGCAGCTATGGCTGAGGAGAAAGCTTTGCGTTTGAGATATGATAACCTTCAACATTGTAGAATTTGTAATAGGTCAAATCACAGTACTAACGACTGTTATTTAGGGAAACAGAGATCGCCTCCTAGTAGAATAATAAATTTCAACCAACCGAACCGAAATGATGCGTTCAGTAATATAAAACAATGTAGATACTGCAAAAATTTCGGCCACAACATAGAAGAATGTAGGAAACGGGAGTTTAATAATTCGAGACAAAATAACGGGTTTTATCGTCAGTCAAACGCTAACAATTTTCAAAGGAGCCCGCAACAACCGAATCTTACTAATTCGTATCAACATCGACCAAATTCCAGTAACTCATATCAACATCGACCAAATTCTAGTAACTCATATCAACATCGACCTAATCCTAATAATTCACACACATATCAAAATCAATCAAATTCCAGCAATTTTCGTACACATCAGCAGAATCCAAATTCCCTTAATAATCACTCTCAAAACCCACGAGATGTTAGGTATCAGGAACAAAATCAATTCCCTTCCAATATAAATGTACAAAATAAACCTGAGTTACATAATACTGTGTCAAGAAATTCTCAAACTGGAAATTTTCATCAGGCACATTACCCACCGGAACCTCCGAATTTGGTGGAAGAAATAACAACGGAATTCAACCTCATGAGTACACGATAAACTCTTCGAGTTCGTCTCTACCCAATAACGACCAATTAGCTATACATACTCTTTGAATCAGACAATTCTAACAGCCCCGATAAAATCCTAAAATTTCTTGTTGACACGGGTGCTGCTATTTCTTTAGTTAAAGCAGACAGTATAACCAGATATGATGTTAATAACAGTAATTTCACTATACTAAACGGGATCGCGCTAAATATGTCTATTCAAACTCTCGGAGAAACCGAACTCACTTTAAACATTAAAGACAGGAAAATTTGTGGAAAATTTCAAATAATTGATTCCCCCAGTAACATTCCTTTTGATGGCTTGATAGGTCACGACTTCCTAAAAGTCCACAAAGCTACAATTGATTACCAAAAAATGACTATGTCGCTAGGAAATATACCACCCCTTATACCCTTATGTCAGAATACTCTTCTAAAATCCGTTAATATAATTAGACTTAATGCTCGAACCGAGACAGTAATTCCAATCAGAATATTAAACCCCCAGCAAATGCAAACAGGGACGATAACTGCGCGAAAATTAAATAACAACGACTCTCTCCTAATACCTCACTCAATTGTTCGAGTACGCGATGACGGTACAGCACTGACAACAATAATTAATACTTCTTCTAAACCACAAGTGATCGATATGCCTGAATTTTCTATCGAACCAATCCCCAATCATTCCTTTGTTTATAGCTTAGCCGCTAATCGAGAATCAAATTTCACTGAAACCAGATTACGAGTATTGAACGAGAATTTACGATTAGATCACCTAAATTCGGAAGAAGCCCAATCCATCAAGGAAATTTGCACTGAATTTTACGACGTATTTCATTTACCAACGGATATATTAAGTCGAGCAACAGTAGATCCTCATACTATTCCTACAACCAATGAAATACCTGTACATGCAAAACTTTACCGTTATCCCCAAATCCATAAGACAGAGGTAGACAAGCACATCGAAAAAATGCTAGATCATGGCATTATTAAACCATCTACTAGTCCTTGGTCCAGCCCACTCTGGGTTGTCCCCAAGAAACCAGAATCGAACGGAGAAAAAAGGTGGCGAATAGTAATAGATTACCGAAAGCTAAATGAGAAAACAATAGGTGACGCCTATCCATTGCCAAACATCGAGGACATTCTTGATCAATTAGGACACGCACAGTATTTCAGCATTCTAGATTTATCGAACGGGTTTCATCAGATTCCATTGGATCCTAGGGATAGCCAAAAAACAGCATTTTCAACATCAAAGGGACATTATGAGTTTACTCGAATGCCCTTCGGTCTTAAGAATGCCCCGGCCCACTTTCAAAGGGTCATGAACAACGTTCTAACGGGTTTAAATAGTACACAATGTTTCGTGTATATAGATGATTTTGTTATTTATGGATCCAATTTAGATGATCACAATCGCAAGTTGAAAAACGTATTTCTTAGACTTCGAGAGCATAATTTGAAATTACAACCAA